CCACCTGAGTATGCCAAAGGTATACATGAGGACAGGCATGACCCAACCGTTATATGCATGTGTCTTATTCACACCGGACAAAAGGCTGTTAAGCACTTTGGTCAAGCGTGCATAAAACACGTCGCAAACTGACTGTTTAATACCAGCCTCATCGATACCGATGTTCTGTGACATACCCAGGTATCGGTATGTTTCAGCCTCGGAAAGGGCCCTTAAGTTGACGGGCATAGATAAGTCTATGGCCCTCAAAGTTAGCAACTCTTCCCCTTTCAACATGGAGGACCGCACACTTATCCGTCCCCAGCTCCATTCTAATAGAATTGCTAAATTCACAAGTGATGTTTAGCAATTCCATAAGATGGGAGCGACTGGACGACTGATTTCGAACGCTCAGGCTGTCAAACAAGGCGTTCCGCAGGGATCTATCCTAGGACCTATTTTGTTTGCCGTGTATTGTGCGGATATAACAAATTGTATTAAGCATTGCAAATACCATATGTACGCGGATGATACACAGATCTATATACCTTGTAAACCGGGGGAGACTAAATTAGCGGTGGAAAAATTAAATGACGATCTCGAAAGAATTGCAGCTTGGTCAGATTCGAACGCATTAGTCCTTAATGGAAGCAAGTCTAAATATATGATTCTAGGTACGGCTCAGCAAATACAAAAAATAGCAAAACATGAAGCTAAGGTAACCATAAGGAACGAAAGAATTGAACGCGTGACTGAGGCTCGTAATTTGGGTTTGTTGATAGATGATAAGTTACGCTTTGAAAGTCACATAATAAACACTGCAAGAACATGTTTTTATAGGTTAAAAGTATTATATCAAATTAGAAGTTGCCTAAATACCGATATGCGGATAAGACTGTGCGACTCTTTGATTCTGTCTAAATTTTATTATATGGATATAGTGTATGGCCCTCGTCTGCTTGTGCGTAGCAAGAAACTTGTCCAGAGGGTGTAGAATGCTTGTGCGAGATTTTGTTTTAAAATACCTCCCAGCGCTCACGTTACGCCGTACATAAACGAGCACAATATTTTAAAAATGCAGTATCGGCGAGAACACCACCTAGCCACATTTCTATTTGGATTAATTAAATATAATGTGCCACCTTATCTTTATCACAAATTAGTGTGGTCTCGCGACGTACAATCAAAGATCACTCGCTCGTCATGTTACTCTTTGGTTGTTCCCTACCATCGTACCATCGCCTTTCGTGGAAGTTTCAAATATTCTGCCTCTAAATGCTGGAATAACCTGCCGCCACCGCTTCGTAGTCTGGAAACATTAAATACATTTAAAATAAAATATAAAACTCACCTAATTATTGTTCAAAAAGCTATGGCTTGATATTTACCTACCTAAATAATTATAGACACTTAGCGCTATCCGGCGGGGTCATACGGAAAGCATATGAGTCCATAGTACTTTTTTTGATACTTAAAGGCTGAAATAAAAGTGTTTTTCATGCTATTAGTTATAACTATGATACAAGTACATGTTTAACGTGCAATCACTATTGATTTATTAAAATATTGTTTCTAATGATAACATTGTTGTTTAAGATTATGGTTATGATTACATACCTGTGAGAAAATATTTTTGTAGGGTACCATCATTTAGTGTTTCTTCTTTTATATTATTTCCAACTGATACCTCATAGATACATGACTCTTATGGTGATAGCAATACTTTTTAAAATGTTTCGGACATTCTTGGTATTAGATCCAGTTAGTTCATTTATGTAATCTATGTTAACTATTATTAGTCTATCAATGACGGTGTGAACGTCCGCACGTCACTTAATTTACAGGCCCACTGAAAACCAGCGCTGTAGTCTCGTATCGGCTGCGGCATTAAGCTGAGTGCGGTCTGTTTGCCGTGTACGCCACACACACTTGTGTGCGTAAAATGTGTGATGTTGTGTTTAATATTTTTTTTATTCTTCTTTTTTTTCTTTTTACTATGTATTTTTTATGTTTATGGTTTAAATGTACATGTGGCAATAAAGTGTGGTGTGTATTTGAGCAATAAATGTTTTCTTTCTTTCTTTCTTTCTTTCTTTCTGGAGGCGAATAACTTGAGGTATTTGTTATTATTATTGTGGGGTATCTATATAGTTTTCTCATCTGGTTGGGTTCTATAAATATATAATATATATATAATTATAAACGAAAATGAAAAGATAAATATACATAAATATCAATAACATAAAATAAATATAAAAATACATAAATAAATAAAAGCCCAACCAGATGGAGGCCCTCGGCAGGGGAGACCAAACAGCCGAGGTTTAGGGGGAAAGGGAAAGAAACCGGCGGACGATGCGGGCGGTATCGAGGAGCACCGCCTTCTGCATTTGAGCCCGGAGCGGTCCGCCACGTAGTCCCAGTCGTCTCAGATGACCCGAGAGGCTGACTGGGATTAGCCCGTTTGCAGAGACGACTACAGGAATAATTTCGGTCGGCAGACCACCCCACATGACAGTCACCTCATGAGCCAGGTCCAGATAGTTTGTTAGCTTGTCTGTTTCGGCTTTCACGAGGTTCTCGTCATACGGAATGGTAATGTCGACCAAAAATATCCTTGACTGTGCCCGGTCCATCAGCACAATATCAGGCTTATTCGCAAGAATAGTCCTGTCTGTAATGATGGCCCGGTCCCAATAGAGCCTGGCGCGATCATTTTCGAGCACGCGGGGGGGGGAGGGGCGGTATCTCCGATAGTTGTTGGTCTTAATAACCTGATCATGTATTGCACAGACAAAACCCTCGGTTTCCCCGAAGAGATCACCAAAGCGTAGCCAGTGGAGGGAGGCTACTGTGTCTACGAAAGGCTCATGTAGAGCCTTGTAGAACCTCCCGTGGAGCTCCTTCTCCTTCCATACAGTCTCCCGGTCGGAAATGCTGAGCACTGCTGGGTCCTGCCATTGCTCGTTGGCTAAGGATAGAGGGGTAAGCCCTTTATCACTAGAAATGACGTCATTATAGAATGGATCATCCGATCTCGCCAGGAAGTAATCACGGATGCTGCACACTTCGCGATTATGCATGGTGAGCGCGCTCATGAAGCCACACCCACCATGCTTTCGCGGCAAGTACAGCCTCATTACCGACGATCTCGGATGATGCATCCTATGGGACGTCATGGTAGTGCGGACTTTTCTATCCAGGGCGTTAAGTTCAGTCTGGGTCCACCTGAGTATGCCAAAGGTATACATGAGGACAGGCATGACCCAACCGTTATATGCGTGTGTCTTATTCACACCGGACAAAAGGCTGTTAAGCACTTTGGTCAAGCGTGCATAAAACACGTCGCAAACTGACTGTTTCATACCAGCCTCATCGATACCGATGTTCTGTGACATACCCAGGTATCGGTATGTTTCAGCCTCGGAAAGGGTCCTTAAGTTGACGGGCATAGATAAGTCTATGCCCGCAGAGTTAGCAACCCTTCCCCTTTCAACATGGAGGACCGCACACTTATCCGTTCCCAGCTCCATTCCAATAGAACTGCTAAATTCACAAGTGATGTTTAGCAATTCCATAAGATGGGAGCGACTGGAAGCGAATAACTTGAGGTCATCCATATAGAAAAGGTGGGTCACTTTTGTACCTCCTTTCCGAAGCTGAAATCCCCTCCCGGAGCCCTCCAGTAAAGTACTGAGAGGGTTCAGGGAGAGGCAAAACCAGATTGGACTCAGACAATCGCCCTGGAAGATACCCCTTCTTATCTTTATGTGGTTCTCTGCAGCCATCATCCGCTCGCCCAGATAGCAAAGGATCGTACTCCATTGCCCCATACACTGCTCGAGGAAGTCTCCAACTGTACAGTCAATTTTGTACAGCTGGAGGACTCTCTTTAGCCATGTATGGGGCACCGAGTCGAATGCCTTTCTGTAGTCTATCCAGGCGGCGGAGTAATTCCGACGGTTGCGTTTCACCACTTTGCCAATGACCGCGTCAATGAGGAGTGGTTCCTTGGTTCCATGACCACCGCCCCGGCATCCTTTTGAGCGCGTGACATCACCTGATTTAGCTCCAGATGACGAGTGATTCTCGCGCTCAAAATGGATGTCAGTGTCTTATATATGGTGGGTAGACACGTGATGGGGCGGTATTTGCTCGGGTCCGTGGTATACTGATCTTTAGGAACCAAAGGAGTGATCCCAGTAGTGAAGAGGCTCGGGAGCGACTTCTGATCGAGAGCCTTTTGAAACTGTCGGGCGAGCACAGCGTGACACACTACGAACCCCTTCAGCCAGTAATGATGCAGCCCGTCGAGCCCCGGACTTTTCCAGTTTGGGGCCTTACGGACCGCCTCAGCCACGTCTTCAGGCGTTATGGTGACGGGGTCCATAGGCGTAACACTTGCACTCTGGCTCGCCACAACTTCCATCCAAGGGCCCTCGCTGTGGTTTACGGGCTCTGACCACAGGCCACGCCAAAATGCGACAGTATCGGCCTGATCCGGTCCTGGGCCCGCTCCACATACCTCTGGTCGCTCCAATGATTTATAGAGCCTCTTCTGATCACTCTGGAAGAGACGATTCTGGTTGAACCGCCTTGACCTCTCGCTAAATCGTCGAATCCGCTTCCCCCAAGCAGCGATTTTTTGCTTCAGGTCATCTATGCGCTCCGTTAGTTTTTGCGTGATATCCGGTTGGAACAAACTGATATTTGTCCCAGCAAACGCCATCCTAACGGTGCGCATAATCCTCGGTCTATTATTACCCGACCTGAAGCTTGTCAGTCTGCCGATAAGGGCCCTTGCCTTTGCGATACGGTCCTCAATTCTTTTTCTCCAGGCTGGGATGGCGCTACTTTTTTGAGTAGCACGTCCAGCCACGGGAAGTTTGGCGCCAATAATACGGCATACTGCCAGTGCGGCGCCAAAAAGAATTGAATCCGTCTCGCAAAGGTCCCGGCTGGCTTCCAAATAGGTCACCAGCATTGGGTTAAGAGCCCGCACGACAGCCCGATTTCGCTTGCTAAGGGGTATGCGGGGGAAGTCGCGGTCGATTTTCGAGAGGCATGCTGCGCGTTTCCAGCATCGACTCTTCCAATATGCTCCTCATTTTCTCTAGTTCGTGAAAGACTATTCCATCATCGTCTGAATTAGCCACAAATGGAATGTTGACGGCAGCATCCACATATGCAGTTTGTTGCGCATCTAGTGGCGCCGCATTCCCAGCCGTAGCATTTCCATTCGATGAAGGAATAGCCTCACGTCGTAGTCGCTCGAGTTCGGCGTCACCAAATATGTTGGAGCGCAGGATGTACCTAACTCGGTCTGCCAGGTTTTGCTCAGTAACGGATAGAGATGGCTCCAGCTCTGCAAAAAAGCGATGCATCCGAGCCCGATACGCCAAGCATCCAGTTTCTTCCCCTTTTGCCCTAAAATACGCCGGCAGTGCGTTTTCATTCATTGATTTACACCAACGCATGCGACGTGCTCCACCAGCGGCGGATGCCACTTGCTGAGTCCGAGAAGACCCAGCCGACACCAAGCCTTCTGGTGGGGATGATGGATGCGGGGGGCTGCTAGGTGGTCTTGCAACACCCCGCGCTCGGCTGGCGGCCCGCATGCTGTCGCGTCCAGCGCCAGCTCCAGACGCGCCCTGGCGACCTCCAGGCAGCGGCCCTTTGCGCACTATCTTTTCTTCCATCATCCATAATATGGGCGTCCATTAACGGGAGACGCCCAGGCCCGGCACCGTATCGTGGACGGCCATAAGCACAAACGGGCCTTTGCACCCTGAATTCTGCCGAGACACGGCGCTCACACCTCTCGCAAGGCGCTGACTGACTGCGTTGACGTAGCAGTTTTGTCACTTAACTTTGTTACGTCAGCGGGCGATGGGGTCGTCAATTCCCTACGCCATATTATTATTATTATTTTATTATTATTTACGGTAAGTGTTTTCACTTCTCAGCTCTAGGCTGGATTTCAACTACATTTACGGGCCGAAGCCAAAGCAAATGCAGCGTGTGGTGTGTAGTGTAGTTCATGTGATTTGATGAGGTCCTATTTCGTTTTCTTCTATCTGCATGAATTTCCTAACTATTCTGCATGTATTTAATATAGCTGCTTTTTGAAGTGTAATATATAGAGTTTCTTTTAGTTGTAATAATTTTAAGCTACGGAGGAGATGATTTGGGATGACACCTGTTGTGGAGAGGACTATAGGGACCACATATACTTTTTCTTGTTGCCAGATTCTAGTCACTTCATCTTTAAGTTCTGCGTACTTACAATTTTTTTCAGTTATCGTCTTCTGCAAGTTGTGTGTGTTGGGGACTGCAATGTCTATCAGGTAAGTAATATTATTTATTTTATCTTGTAGAATTATATCTGGTCGGTTATAGTGGATTGTCCTATCGGTGAGAATGCCGCGGTCGTAAAAAAGTTTATGTGTGGTGTTTTCTAGAGTATGTTTTGGTGTATAATTGTAGTACGGAGTGTTGGCATCTGGAATGAGTGCGTGTTTGAGTGCTAGTTTTTGATGAATGACATTGGCCACCTGATTGTGTCTGTGAGTGTAGTCAGTCTGTGTGAGAGTTGTGCATGCGCCTGTGATGTGTTGAATGGTTTCTGAATGTGTGTGGCATTTGCGACATTTGTCATTATTTACTGTAGGATCTTTGATTATATATTTTCTGTAATTTTTTGTGTTTATGATCTGGTCTTGAATAGCTATTATAAATCCTTCTGTTTCTGGAAATAAGTTGCCTATTTTCAGCCACTTATTTGAAGCTAACTTATTTATGTGGGATTGCTCTAAGTCATGAGGGTGCCGACCGTGGAGAACTTTCTTCTTCCATTCGTCAATTTTGTGTGTCTGTGGGTTATCACTAGTAGTGTTTTGGGATTCAATCTGATTGCTTAAGTTAAGTGGAGTGTAGTTAATATCATTCGTTACGATGGCTTTATGAATATTGCTAGTATGGGATTTTGTATAGAAGAATGATTTTAATCGACTAACTTGTTTCCGCCATAGGTGCTGGATATCCATTAGGCCTCTCCCTCCATGTTCTCGTTTTATTGTTAGTCTCTCTATGGCGGATTTAGGGTGTAGGTTATTGTGTTTCGTGAGTGTTGTACGTGTAGTTCGCTCTAATTGTTCTGCATCAGTTTTGGACCATTTTATAACTCCGAATGAGTACGTTAATATGGGGATGGCATAGGTGTTAATGGCTTTGATGAGATGTTTACTTGAAAGTTGAGTTTTACAAACGGCGTTAAGTCTTCTCTTGTATTCCGTAGTGAGAGAATTTTTAATTCGTACGTGGTCAAGACTTTTAAGTTGGACATACCCTAAATATTTGTATAAGTCAGTCGATTCCATTGCTGTAATAGCCTCCGTTTCATTTACCACATAGTCGCCGGGCCTTACTTTGCCTCTTACAATGTGAAGTGTTTTACATTTATCTAAACCAAAATGCATATTAATATCGCTACTGAATTCTGTTGTTATATCTATTAATTTCTTCATATCCTTGTCTGTTTTTGCATATAATTTGATGTCGTCCATGTATATAAGATGCGATATTGTTGTTTCGTCTGTATTAAGTTTGAGGCAATATCCGGCCCCGCAGCTCTGCAGCAAATGAGACAGAGGGTTTAGGGCGAGACAGAACCACAGTGGGCTCAGGGAGTCACCTTGGTAGATGCCTTTTGTGATTGAGATTTGTCGCGTGGTGACAGTATTTTGGTTACAATTTATTTGTAGTGTTGTTTTCCATTGTAACATTATTCGGCGTAAGAAATCGATTATTTTCGGATTTATTCTATAAATTTCTAATATTTTTAATAACCATGAATGAGGAACACTGTCAAACGCTTTTTTATAATCAATATAGGTGCAATGTAAATTTCTATTTTTAGAGGTGGCGTGTTTATGAATAGTGGAATCAATTATCAGCTGTTCTTTACATCCCATGTGGCCCTGTCTACATCCCTTCTGTTCTTCTGCTATTATATTGTGGTGTTCAATGTGCGACTGAATTTTCTTTGTGATTACAGATGTCAATATTTTGTAAATTGTGGGTAGGCATGTAATTGGTCGGTATTGGGAAGGCTGAGGTGAATTTTTTGTTTTAGGTAGCATATAAGTAATTCCTGTTGCAATAAATTCGGGAGTGTTCTGTTGTCCTGTTATTATATCTGTTAAATTTCTTGCTAAAGGTTTGTGTAGAGACGTTAATTTTTTTGTACCAAAAATTATGAATTTTGTCTATACCAGGTGATTTCCAATTATGTAACCTAGCTGTAATGAGTGTTATGTCTAACTCTGTTACCTCTTCGAATTCCATTTCGTCAATATCTCTCCATTTTGCTTCCTCTTCAATTATCCAAGATGCTTTGTCGTTATGTTGTTTTTGCTCTTCCCAAATACTCGCCCAATATGCTTCTAGTTGTTCTTTTGTAGGTAGGTTAGGTGTATGTGGGTTACGTTCATCGATTATGTCTGTTTGTGGTTTGTGTAAGTTTCTATAAAACAATTTTTCGTTTGTGGCAAATCTGACGTTATCTTTTTTGCGCTGTTGTGCTTTTTTATACCTTTTGAGCCTATGAACTTTAAGTGCTAATTTTTGTTTTAACGTGTCTAAAAATTCTTCAGGTCTTGTGTTACTTTTTTCGTGTCTGGTATGCGTAGCATTATTCCTAAATATGACCTCTACTTTTTTGACTAGTTTATTAGATCTACAACCGTTAATATACTGAGTGAGTCTACCTATGTTTGCTCTTAATTTTTCAATGTCTTTTTCTAGTCTCTGTTGCCATGCTGGTTCTGTATTTTGTCTTGTTCTTGTTGTTCTTGCATTGTCTGTGATTTTAAAGTTCAATTCTTCGGATATTACTATCGCTGTGCAGTATATAAGTAAATGTATGTCTATAAGTTGTGTGTCATCAGATATATATTGTGTGAGTATAGTTTCATTAAATAAATTAACCAGTCGAAACAGGTTGGGTGTGTACTTAAGTTTAGGTAGTCTTGGTCGCGCTGCGGGATCCATCCCAGAGTATAACGTTATTGTTGTTCTAAATTTCTCATTGATTTCTTGGATATATGTATCTGTTGTTAAGTGTTGATCTGGGACAACTATGGTCTCAATATCATTTTCTAGCGTTAGGATTACGGTTTCGATTTGTGTGGATGTGTGTGATATTTGTAAAGAAGAAGCGACAAAGCTTCTTCTTGAATTAATTGTGTTCGTACTTCTTCTTTTAATTGATCTATAACTTCTTGGGATAGAAGTTTATTCCTAACTATGGTTCTTCTTTGGTCTGAGATTCTTTGTTCTGAAACAGTAATTTCTGGATATTGTCGAGTGAAATGTGCGTGTAATTGTTGTCTGTACGTGGTCATATCGGTCTCTAATTTAGTAATGTATAGATAAGTTCTCATGATAAATAAATTTACTTCTTTACTCCATTTCATTCGAACTCTTGCTTTACCAGCCTTGGTGGACGCGGGTAAGAAGGTAGATACCTCCCGCGCAGCACTCAAGGAGTAGGTGGAACTGTATTTAAACTAGTAATAGGGGATGGTGGAGGTGTTGGTGACGATGGTATGGATGGTGATGTTGGCCTCGAGGGTGTGTATGATACTGTGCTTGGACTATATGGTTCTACAGGGGTGTCTGTCCTGTCCGTCAGTCTGTCACCATCGTCAATGAGTTCGGCTGTAGTATCTTTGTGGGTGGGAGCCCGCCTGTTCAACTCCTCACCGCTGACGGATCGCATGCTGTGACACCCAGCGTCAGCTCCAGGTGCACCCCGGCGATCGCCCCCGGGTAGCGGCCCTATACGTTTACTTTTAGAACGAGTCTCCATTTTATTTATGGGTTTCCAGAGCCACGTTAGCCACGCCCGTAATTTCTCATTCGTGTGTCCGCCCCCCACGTGATTAGATGGTCAATCAGGACGTGTGGTTGTTTAGGGGCTTATTATTATTATTATTATTATTATTATTCTGGTATTAATTCCGTCGTAACCTTCCGAGGCAGTATTATTTAAGGACATGATCTCTTTACTCACCTCATCTTTCGACATCGGCTTAAGAAACATTGAGTTTGATATTAGGTGTAATATTTTCCATGTTATCATTATTAGTTATAATATAATTAGTCATGTCAATAAAATAGTCATTAAAAGCGATTGCTATATCGTAAGGGTTCGTTAGGTTTTTATCATTTATTTTTAGCTCCTTAATATTATCCAATTTTGTATTTGAAACTTCTTTTTTTATTACGGACCATGTTGCCCTGCATTTATTTTTATTCTTACTTATAAATTTTATATTACAATTCTTCTTGGATTGGTAGATACATTTTTCAATAAATAAGAATATTTTTTATTAAGTATCCTTATTTATTTTAGTTTTATTTTTATAGTATCGATACCGCAGTGCTCTTTTTGTTCTACAACTATTTTTCAAACCTTTACTACTCCAATTATTTTGATTACTATTTTGTATTAGTATTTTTATTCTTGGGAAACATAGGTTATAAAATAAGCAAAATAAATCATAAAAATTATTAAATGTAATGTTCAAGTCAGTTAAATTAAGTCAGTTAGAAGAGAAAGAAACGCTATCTATCTAACGCGAGCAATGCCATTGCGATAGTATTATTAGGAAAATTTTATCATCCACAAATAATA